TACTAAAGAGCTGAAACATAATCTGGAGATAATAGCAGCAAATATTTCCATAAATTCCTTGCAGAAAGTAATGCAATAACATATGGACATAAATTAGAGACATTAGTTTCATGAATCATTTCTTGAGGAGGTTTCAAACAAACAGCTCAGCAGGGCTCACTGATACTTCAGGGGTCACTGCAAAGCTCTCCAGGGCTTGTCTCATTATCTTCATGAACATCAAGTTTAGGTTGATAATGATTTCAGTATTCCATTTGGGCCATGCATAAAAATATGCATTTGCAATAAATTAATGACTACATATTATGAATATATGCACACATATGCATGCACATATTTATACACACATATATATGTGTGCATATAGACATATTTCTGTGGATATATATGTATGTATACATATTTATACATGCATGTTTTTATCTATTTTATATACCTAACATATATATATAAATATATATATATATATATAACATATTTACGTGTGTGTATGTGTGTGTGTGTATGTGTTTAAAATAAAGCAAGCTGTTGTCACAAGTGTAAACTTTGGAAAAGACAGCTTGGACTGATTCTTGGTTTTATCATTTGCTTACTCTGTTACCTTTAGAAAATTACCCAACCTCTCTGAGCCTTAGGCTCCACAATTACCAAGAGAAAAGAATCATGTTAACTGCCACACAATGTGCTTGAGCTTCAGAGAGCTCCGGGTGAAAAACAGTTTGCAGTGCATGATACTTAGTAAATGCTCAGAAATAGACCCCATCAAAATATATTTTTAAACTCATTTATTGGCTCTGTAGTGATGTCTACCATACTATAAGAGATATGGGAAGCCAATTGAACTGTTTGGAACATTAGGCCTCACTGTGTAAGAAGGTTTGAAGAAGAAACCCTGAGAAGCATGTCTTTTAAGACATCCAATAAAGCACAATGCTGTAAATTAAAAATGTAATACCTCTGCCACCATCAGAAGAGTAAACCCTATGGATGGCCCCTGAATCACTAAACACAGGATACTCTGCAAGTGGATCTTATCAACATTCTCCATGTAACATCTAAACTAATGGACTAGGATGAAAACCATCACAATATGCATGAGTGAAATGTTGGGTTTGATGAGTCCCATGTATTTTTTTCTATTTACACCCAGGTTTCTTTGGGATTAGATCCAAGGCAAAGTAGCAATGAGGGAATGGTTCCTACTGGCAGCTACTCTTTATGAGCACTTCAAACACAAAAGTGTATTCTGAAAATGCCATGATTTGTTAGTTTTTGGTTTAAAGATAGCTAAAAATTCTGGACAATTTAGAAGATCCTGAACAATTTTGCCAAGTCACCCTTTAGTCTTACCTTCTCCACTCTCAGGAAACCTTCACTCCAGGCGAGCTGGTCCATTAACTCCTCAAAACATGCTTCAAACATTCCCCTCCCTGAAATTCTGTTCATTCCTCTGTCATTCTTATAATTGATTCTTCTCTTTTTCCCAGATCAAATTATTCTCATCCTTTTTTCTCAGTCTGTTTCTCTTGCTGCAATTTCTCCTTGGACACTCAAACCCACAGTGAATATCTCTCATGTCAACATTCACATATGGTGCCATAGATGTGCTGTGTATTGTTAACTGATTTATTTCACGTCTACCATGTCTTTTTAACCAGACTCTTGAGGTCTGAGATAGTACGATCTTTGCCTTCCCTTCCCTCAATGTCTAAAATAGAAAAATGCATTTTCTAGCTATATTTATAACTGAAATATTAACTGCCCTGACATCATTCTATAAAAGAAAAAACTGTAGGTGCCTTTAAAAGTGGCCAGTTTAACAGATATTAAAGAAATATTAATATTCTGTCATATTAATGACAAAAATTATAAAGTTTTAGTCTCTAAATGTTGTTTCCCTTACTCCTTTCATCTTTGCATCCCTTCCTTCCTCCATCTCTCCCTCCCTCTCTTCCTTCCTTTTGTTTTCTCAGTGGCCATTTCTCTCTAGGAATCAAATAAAAAATGTTCCTGCCTCTAGGGTGTGGCATTTTAATAACTTTTTAAGTACAGTCTAAATCAAAGAGCCCTTAAGGGCTTCAAAGGTTTTGTCTTAGTCTGCCTTCAGAATAGAGTGTGTGTTTCCAGACAACAGTGGCAGAAGGAAACTATGTGACTACCTTCAATTATAATTTGTTCATTTGTACCTTAATGAATGAATTAGTATGCCACATCAGTTCTGCTCCACTGTCATGATAAAACTTGCATTTATATAACCTGTAATCATTTTTACTATGGGCACAAGGGAGAAATTTATTTTTAAAGTTGATGACAACAAATAGGTTATGCTATTGCATAGCCATGAGAATTTGCAAATGACTTGTGGCAACATGCAAGAGCCAAGTTGCAATTAAATACACACCAATAGAAATAATTGCTTTGATGATGGCTGCTATGGCACCAATAAAGAGACAATAAATGCAGGCACTTGTATGCTTTTACAAGTAAACAAATTGCAATGGAAATAAAATGAATCAGAATCAAAGGAAGTGTGCATAGTCATTTCTGACTCAATAGCAAATTAGAGCCTAAACTTCATTTGAATTGCAGCACAATTTCCACTAAACCGCAACGTTCAGATCCCCAAAGAATTCAGACCCCAAATTGTATTACTCTTCACTTCAATATCAAACCCATTGGAACCATCAAATCCATTTGAGGATAAAATACTAATGAAACATATTGCCCTTTTACATCATAAAAATTGGTGTAGTCTCAGTTATTTGCCAAGCTCAGCCAGTATCTTTTTAAGTATAAAAATTTTAAATATATAAAAATGAATAATAAATGAATCCTCAGTTATCATCACTCAACTTCAACTCATACCAAATCCTATTTCATCTATATTCCTACCTGGTTTTTCACACTCAGGATTACTTTGAAGTGAACACCAGACATTATATTAATAGACATCATTTGTAAAACATATTTTAAACATAATTCTCACCTAAGTATCAATTGTCACACATATAAATTAAATAACATATTAATGTAATCAATTTTCCCAAATCACATTATAATTTTTAATAGTTTGTTCAAACTAGAATGCAACAATTTTAATAGGCTGGTTTTTAAGTTTTTTCTAATGTATAACTGCCTTTCTTTCTCTTCTTTCTTTGGTCTGGGCACTTTCTCATCTCCTTGAAGTTAGGCAAGGCAGGATGATTCACTTTAGGGAATGGATTATGAGTCAAAGAGCAGGCTTGAAGCTTTTAAAAGCCAGTGTATGCTTTTCTATGCCTTCTTCTCCTCTCTAGGAAAAGAAGAAGCCTTGTTTTGAGATGTTCTGAGATTGCAAATCATAAACTGGGACCCTGAGAAAATGTAATAAACAGAAGTTGCACTGCCAGCCTGCATTGCAGATTTAGAGACGTGGGAATTAAACTCTTATTTTCTTAAGCTACTGAAATTTGAGAGCTGCTTGTTACTTGAGCATAATCTACCCCATATTGACTGATTCTGCAAATGACAAGGTTACCTGATGGTAGAGAAAAACGGGTTCAGGTGGTACCTTGATGATGATATTCATGTAAATAGGAAGGAATAGTTGTATTCATTTTCTAGGCTCTGCTGTAACAAACTATGACCAACTGCGTAGCTTAGTACAAGGGAAATGTATTGTCCAGCAGTGCTGGAGACTAACAGCCTGAAATCAAGGTGCTGTCAGGACCATGCTTCCTCTGAAACCCGGAGGATAGCATCTTCGCTTGTCTCTTCCTGACTTTGGAGGTGGCAGGCAATTGGTGGCATCTCTTGATTTGCAGCTGCATGGCTCCAATCTCTGCCACTGTTGTCACCTGGCATTCTCCTGTGTGTCCTCTTCACGGGGCATTTTCCTCTTCTTATATCAGACACTAGTCACACTGGATTGAGCCCGCCCTAATGACCTCATCTCAACTTGATCATCTGAGAAGACTTTATTTCCAAATAAGTTCACATTAACAGATTCTGGGGGTTAGGACCTCAACATATTTTGTTGGAGGGACACAATTCTACCCCAAACAAGTGCCTGGAGGGGTGTGGAGTACCTATGTTCCAGCAAAGCACGACGAGTCCTTTTACGACTTTCCCATAGGTGAGCATTTACATGTCTGCATGGGCACACACATGGAGCAACCATGTTGAATGTGAGTTTTTTGCATGTCTATAGTAGGTGGAGTAATTGGGTTATCTATACACGCCTTTAAGCTTATGATAAAGGCAGAAACTCTATCCTATATCCCTTTTCATAATTATGATGTCCCCAAGACTCAAAAGCTTACCATATAATAACTGGGATCATAAAGTGAAAAAAATAGATCTTAGCCAGAAAACAATAGAACACATAAACAATTCCTGAACTTCTACTGGAATAAATAAGTCATTCACTATTGTACAAGTTTCAAAATCCTTAGGCCAATAATTTTTATTTTGTTTGTTTTTTTCTATTGAAATGGTTAGAGAGCTCTCTAAAAATCTTAGGATTTCTAACAGGCACTAAACTTAGCATTTTCTAGATGTTCAAAAAGAATTGCATAGAACATTATTCAGAACACTGTGTTGATCCTGGATGAGGTTGGTAAGCTTGGTTTATCTGATTTGTTCAGAATAGTACATGGTTTTGGCTGGGTGTGATGGCTCACTTCTATCATCCAAGTGCTTCTGGAGGTGAGGTGGAAGGACCACTTGAGCCTAGGAGTTTGAGATCAGCCTGGACAACACAGTGAGGCCACGTTTCTACAGAAATAAAAGTAAAAAGATTATTGGGGCATGGTGCCACATGCCTATAGTCCCAGCTTCTCTAGAGGCTGAAGTGGGAAGATTGTTTGAACCCAGGAGGTTGAGGCTGAAGTGAGCTATGAACACATCCCTGCAGTCCAGCCTGGATGATGAAACAGTGAATGAACTGTTTAAATCAAAGCAGTAAATTTATTGAATATTAATTAATTTTTAAAAAGATTATATGATTTTATTTTTGGCTTGCTTATGTTTAAGATCCATAACAAATGAGAAAAAAAATCTATTCTAAAACTGGCTTCAAAATTTGCCCTAAAGACTTCTTGGATCAGAATTTCCTCAATGGTCTTGATAAATAAAAGCAGAAAATATTCTATTTTGTTTCAAAGAGAGGTTATAGTAAAATCCAGTTCATGTTGTGTTCTCTAACCTTCTCAAGAAATGGCGAGAGATAACTCTGGGTTCTGAGTGATTGACAGGTAGCTTATTTTACTAAGAATGTGTAGTTGAGTAAGAGTAGGAATAGGCACAAAGGAAAATGAGGTAGCCTGGTTTTGCTAATTGTATCTTCTGAACACTCTAATCATTCTGTATGTATGTAATAAGACGCTAGAAAGGTATTTTTGTTTTAGTACCATTCATAAGATCATATTTGGAATGTTTTTCTTTTTACTCAGAAACAAAAGCTGCTTGGTACTGTTTTAAAGTACCTTATTTTTATTAAACAATTGATAGAGCTTACAATGCTTAAAACATTTGCATAGCATGTCCCTTCAGGCATTAAATAATTTTGATAAAGGGGTCTAATTTTGATCTAATCTTCTTAGATATGAGCATTTGTTATTGATCTTGAACGACAAGATGAAAATTATTCAGTTTTTTAGATGATTATAAAAGCAATGTGGATATAAAATGCAAGGCATGGGGTGTACAACCAGGCTAAGCCCAGCCATGCATGTAACATATTAAAGGTGTGAAAATACTGGGAGTGACATCATCTGCATTGCTGAAACATGTTTCCTGTCAACTGCCCCATCCTCACTTTGGTGTTCGAGGCCATCCAGACACGGAGGAGTGGAGTCTGCTCTTATGCTCCTTGAGAACAGAAAAGCCAGCACCCAAGCACAGTGGCTGCCCTAGAGTACAGACCCAATACACCACGTTTTAGAACAAATAAATAAGTGACTGGACAGTAAAATGAGGTTTAAGTAAAGGAGTCAAAATTTCCCTTTGACTTCATCTTAAAGGTAAAGGATCTTCACTGTAACACAGATAGGGGGTCAGGCACAAGCATCTGTCCCAAGCTCATAAGAGCTTAACAACCTGACCTAGGACAAGGTAATTTTGACATTTGAAAAAAAAAAGGCACATTTCACCACTCAGGCCAATATCTGATTCTGTGAACAGCTTCTTTCTCCTTGTTCATTCTTCCTTCCTCCTTCCTTCTTTTTCTTCTTCCTCTTCCTCTTATTCTTCCTCTTCTTATTCTTTTTCTTTGTCTTCCTCCTCCTCTTCCTCCTCCTCCTCCTTCCTCATCTTTGCCTCAAAGAAAAACTAACAGCAAGATCACTTGAAAATGCTTACTAACATATATGATGCTGAACATAGTTTTATTGCTAAAGTGGTCAGAACACGTTTTAAAAGGCACAGTTCAGTCTTCTTCCTTCACTTTAGGGCTTTCTCCCTAAAGTTTCCAACCCAAAGAAACATGGCAAACAGTGGAGAAACAGAAAAGAACAACACACGTATGGATATCGTATTTGCAGTCTTTTGTTGTTTTGATGGTCCTTAACAAAACTTACATTTCAACAGTCCCAGGGAATGGTTAATAAATAGGGAGTGGTTTATCTCTTGCAGAGACATTTTGACTAACAAAGAGAATGTAGTATCCCTGTCTTATTCCATTCATGGGCCGAGTCAGACATGAAACATGGACTGTTTACACAAAAGCAGAGAGATCCTCTTTTAGAAATATCACTGATTAAACAGATCCTCTGAGCTACAAAATCATTGGCTTAGCAAAAACCCTCAAACTGCTCTAAGATCTATTTTTTCCTACTCCTGTTCACTGTTCAGCATTACCAGCTCCCACAGATTGCTTTGCGTACATGTTGAGCACCTTGCCATTTTAGGCCAAAATCCGAAGAAATTGGAAGTTCAATTAGCAAGCAACAGTGAGATTACAAAGGCTATTGTGAGCTCTGTTTAGAATTTCCCTGTGTGCTAAAAGCAACAAAATAAGTTATGCCACTAACATAGAAATCATCCTAATGCACACAAAGACTCACACAGAATGATGATAAACCAGTATTTACTTTGATAGAAACAATAAAGTCATTCTTAGCATGTGCGGAGACTCCATACCAGAGACTCAGCATGTGCAGACAATGTAGCACCCTCATTATGAAGTGTTTCTCTGGAACTGATGGTTTCTATGAAACTTAGATTTAAATATACAGAAACTGCATACTGTGCCATAATCTTAATACAAAAAAATTAGGTTATGCTTTGAGATTCATCTCTCCTTGTGATGAAGAATGATTTGAAATATCTACCCTTGAAGAGGACATCATAATAAGTTTGTCTTTATTCTACACTTTGCTTACCCATATTATTCTCTGCTGTCTATGAAATTCTCCAGTGCAAATCCTGCTGTGAAACTGCAATCAAAAGAAGGCCTGCCTATGTGGATGAGTAAGTTCATGATGCATTTACCAACAAAAGGGCTCAGCCCAATTTCAGAGGCAAGAGATTCTTATGATAGCCATGATTTTCCATTTATTTTATTTCTTCCATGACACACTGTTTATCAATATGACTAATTTGGACCACACTTTCAACTCTGCCGACTGATTTTTGCTTTGGAAAATAAACTGCGGTTTACAGAAAAATCCAAAATGACAGTGGCTAAGCAATATGGAAGTTTCAACAGTTCTTGATTAGTCGTAAGCAATTTAGGGTTGGTCCGACACCCCATATTGTCAGGGACCTCCACTCTTTCTCTCTTATTGCTGATCTGTTGCCCTCAATGTGGAGTTTCCACATGATTTTCCAAGGCAGTTGTTCACATTAATGCTCACAGAAGGGAAGGGATAGCAGAAACATGTACATAATTTTGAGACGCGAACTGGGTATTCCACAAGGCCTTCTAGTCATATGCCATGGGCCAGAACTTCAATACGAGGGAAATGAAGCCTTCACTCTAAATGTCCCTGGGCGCAGCTAGCCTCCAGGGGTTATTTTAGAGGGAAAAGAGTAGAAGGAATAGTGGGGACAGCTAGTTCCTTGCTCAAGGACAAAAGCAAAAAAGGCAAGGAAAGAAACACCGCAGGTAATCTGTATGTGCTTACATTCGGAAAATTCATTAAAAACAAATAAAAACTGAGGGACAACTCTTCTTACCACACACTTCATCTCCTTCATAAAAACACAATTCAAGCACTAATTATCATGATAAAAGACCGAGTTGTAAAGCAGACCTCTTAGAGAGAGCCACTGATCGCTCTGATGCACCACCAGCGGGCAATTACTGAGTACCTGCAGGTTCTGGGGCCTCAATAAGACTCGCCTGAATGTGGTCATTCTCCTGATTTCTTGTTTCCAGTTGAGGAACTGGAGGACAAAATCCTGTCCTCATCTCCTGCTTGGATGTATGAATCAATCATGAGTTTACCATTTGATTCCCGTCTCTCCCTGCTGAGAGAGAACCTGGAGAGGAATTAATTACCTAAGGCCTGAGTGTTGCTCCACGTGGAAACAGGACACACACAAGGCCTGCGGCTTCACTGGAAGCCTCGTGCGCCTCTAAGGCAGAGGTCAGGCTGTCCAGCAGATCTCCCTGACACACACCATGCTTGAAGAGCTGCATGCCCAGGAGCGTACTGACAGCAAGACCCATTCCCACATTTCAGCTTCGTAACCCTTGTGCAAAATAATACAGCATTTCATTGTGATATCATGGCTATCTTGAGAGGCAAAGAGGGTAAGGATCATTATCCATTGACCATCTACTAGGCAAACATTCAGACAGGCTAAGAATTGCTCATATCAGGATGGAGTCTATGGAACTCAGGCAGGCTAGTTTACTGCACCAAAGGGGAAAAAAAAGGTGCATTTATGTAAAGCATTCTTCTTGTAAAAGGGACATCCTTCTGAAGATGTGCTATCTTTGACTTCAGTGCAAACATACTGAGAATTGTGATTCTCTAGGATAATAAAAAGTGGATGATGGGAATATTTGCTTGTGAATAATTTGAGCATTTAATCCTTTGTTTATAAAATATGTGGTTCTATGTACTTATTTTTAGGTACATTCATAAACAGACTTGAGTTGGCTCTTTATGCCTTATTATAATTCTTAGAAAAATTAATGAGCCTTTGCATCTAGGCCACAAAGGGTTACTGCCCCATACTAAAAGTTGTAACACTAATATGGTAGCGTGACTCTCAACTAAGGTCCATAGAAAGCTCTCCGCTATGAGACATATAACACCCTTTGTATTAGTTTTCTGTGTCTGCTGTAATTAGCAGAACCTTGCCAAGACAAACAACAGAAATACGTTTGCTTATTTTTATTATTATTTTTGAGATGATGTCTCACTCTTTTGCCCAGGCTGGAGTGCAATGGCACAATCTTGGCTCACCGCAACCTCTGTCTCCCAGGTTGAAGTGATTCTCCTGCCTCAGCCTCCTGAGTAGCTAGGATTACGGATGTACACCACCAAGCACAGCTAGTTTTCTTACAGCTCTGGCAGTAAAAAGCCCAAAATACTGTCAGCAGGGCCACGCTTGCTCCAGAGACTTTGGGGATGATATCACTTTGTCTCTTTTGGCATCTGGTGGTTGCAGGCACTTCCTGTCATTCCTTGGCTTGCAGCCCCTTTGCTGTAATCTCTGCCTGTCTTCACAAGGCCCTCCTCTCTGTGTCTTCTCTTCCAGCTGTGTCTCTCATAAGGACATTTGAGATTACATTTAGGGCTCACCCTGACCATCCAGAATAATCCACTTATCAAAATCCTTACTTCATCGCATCTCCAAAGACCCCTTTTCCAAATAGGCAATGTTAACAGGTTATTGGAATTGGAGTGTGGACGTATCTTTTAGGGGCCACTATTCATGCCTCTGCTCCCTTTATGGTATGGGTCACCACGTACATTTTAACTCCACCTCCTGCAATGCCCATCACCTCAGTACATTATATTCTACCTATTAACTCACCATTATCAAATATGTCAGGTTGACAGTCTTATGCATTTGCACATTCTATTCCATTTACATGAAATCCAGTTCCCTTCCTGTCTAACTTGCAAGCTTCCGCTCATTGTGTGTCAAAAATTCCCAATAATTGCCTCCACATTTATTTTTTCCATGAAAGTAGAGCACCCTTTTTCTTAACTTCCATGGCATCTTATGCACAACTCTATCAGAGTACATATCAGATAAACTCCCATATGCCTCACACATGTCCTCATCTGATTGTGGTTCAGATCAGATGGATCTCACAGATTCAGGTTAGATGAATCCTCTCACAGAATCTCATGATCCATCTCTATATTTATGTTTCAATATATGAAGTATAATAGTTTTTATTATGTGCACTGCAAAAAAATCTCAATATCTTTTCTTATTACAAGGAAATTTAGGTGATTTAAATATGTGTAAGTGAAAAAATAGAATTGCCTATGTCAAGGGATAAAAACAGGACACATTTAACTGGTGTATATCTTTCCAGTATTTGTATACTTTTCATCATGTATCCATATCTGTGTGTATATAAAAGTCACTAAAATCATAATAATCTGTACATTCTTTGTTCTCCTGAAACACAGTATATACTTCATAAAAGTTTGTTTAATTAATTAATGAAATAATGAATTAAAGGATTAAAACCTACCACCTAAACAGAGCTAACATGGTCACAGAATAAATGATGTTATTACTTTGGCATAAATATGGGTCTCTGCTTGGATTTCTAAACAATTATTCTTAAGATTCTATCATAAAGGGCTTTACTACTATCCAAATTGTATACAGTTTTTAAGAACAGAAATAGAAGAATCCCACTGGACAATGATATAAAAATAATTTATTCTTGAAATCATATAATATAATGATGGTATGTTTCCTTCACATTCTTAACTTCAGTGTCTTTCCAAAGATGGCCTTGAGGCAAATGTAAGATGATAGTAATTGGGGCTTTGTTGTAAATGTCTAATTCATTCATTTCCTAAACCAAAGGAGAAATAGAAAATATAAGAGCTATAATGAATTTTTATTTCTTATGAATTCAAATTAACACAGATTGCCCTGCAGGAGAAAAACTGTTATGGAAAGCTTGCAGCTAGAATGCCATTCCTCTGAATCATGCAAATGTTACTTTGGGAAAGCTAAGTGTCTATTCACCTGAGGCATGGAAAATACAAATCTGTGAACTTGGCTTGAGGAAAAAAAAAAAAAAAACATCTACTTTCATTTTCTGCATTCCAAGTTGCAGTTTGTGGAAAGTTGGCTTTCCTGCAGACACTTGTCTGGAAGGAATCACAGAGTGCTTCCTACCTGGTGAACAGCACATGCAATGGATGAATCAGCACTAGCTGTGAGGCATACATCCTTCTCACCCCAAAACAGGCTGCTTTCTTCTCTTGGAAAAGATACTTGAGTTTCTGGAGTTTGCTTGGAGAATGCAAACAGGCTCTTAAAAGGGTCTATCATCCTGTGCTCTAAAACTGAGGAATCTCAAAACATACAAAATCAGTAGATCCGGGACCACTCTAGAACCAGAATCTGTCCTGGGTGGTCACAGTGAACGGAAATCAACAGAGACTTTGGTTTTTAAGGTTTAACCTCCTCTGCAGGCAGATCCAAAAGTAACTTAATAGTTTAAAAAATTTGATTTATCATCCATTAAATGACTTGCATCCTCCCACCTTCCCCCCACCACGCTGAGCTTCTGCTTTAAAAAAAAAGGAGTCAGAGGGTATATTGGAAAGCAAAACAGTTGTATTAGTCCATCCTCATGCTGTTAATGAAGACATGCCCAAGACTGGATAATTTATTTTAGAAAGAGAGGTTTAACTGACTTGTAGTGCAGCATGGCTGGGGAGGCGTTAGGAAACAATCATGGCGAAAGTGGAAGCAAACACTCCCCTCTTCACAGGGCGACAGCAACGAGAACTGCAGAGTGAAGTGGCGGGGGGAGCCCCTTATGAAATGATCAGATCTCCTGAGAACTTGCTCACTATCCCGAGGACATCATGGAGGTAACTGCTCCCATGATTTAATTACCTCTCGCTGCATCCCTCCCACAACATGTAGGGATTATGGGAACTATAATTCAAGTTGAGATTTGGGTGGGGACACAGCCACACCATATCAATTGTAAACTTGGAGTTCAGAGATCCATTTTAGTCCTATTATCTGGGGCAGAATTTCAACTGTGAACCTAAGACAAAGTTCTGAAATAAGAGTTTTGAGGTATTGGCCAGGCACGGTGGCTCACACCTATAATCCCAGCACTTTGGGAAGCCAAGGAGAGACAATCACTTGAGTCCAGGAGCTTGAGACCAGTCTGGTCAACACAGGGAAACCTTATCTCTACAGAAAATTGAAAAATTAGACAGGCATGATGGTGCATGCCTGTAGACCCAGCTACTCGGGAGGCTGGGGTATGAGGATCACTTAAGCCCAGGAGGTGGAGGCTGGAGTGACTGTGATTGCAACACTACACTTTAGCCTGGGTGAGAGAGTGAGGACCTGTCTCAAAAAATAAAATAAAATAAAATAAAATAAAAAAGATTTCAAGATACCATCACAGTAAAAATCCCAAATACAAAACAGCAAAGTTAGTACTTCATTACATTAAACAGTTTTTCATAAGAGTCTCCTTATAATGTTAAAGTCAACCAACCGCAACAGAGACTCTTTTGACAAACATGTCTTTTTAAAAATTAGTCAATTAAGGCCGGGCGCGGTGGCTCACGCCTGTAATCCCAGCACTTTGGGAGGCCGAGGCGGGTGGATCACGAGGTCAAGAGATCGAGACCATCCTGGTCAACATGGTGAAACCCCGTCTCTACTAAAAATACAAAAATTAGCTGGGCATGGTAGAGTGTGCCTGTAATCCCAGCTACTCAGGAGGCTGAGGCAGGAGAATTGCCTGAACCCAGGAGGCGGAGGTTGCGGTGAGCTGAGATCGCGCCATTGCACTCCAGCCTGAGTAACAAGAGCAAAACTCCGTCTCAAAAAAAAAAAAAAAAAATTAGTCAATTAGTAGTTATGATTGAAAGTTGCTATTTTACATAGGTCTTAACATCTAATT